ATTCTTTGAGGAAGGAGCATGCGAAAATCAAAAATAGCTATTCGAATGAACAAAACCTCAACTGTGCTGTAACTTAGCAGTCTAGTTTTCTGTGGCCAGCTCAAAAAAGCTCATTCTTTGAAAGAAACAGTGTCATTTTTTTAGAACCGGTAGGTCTCACCTGAAATAAATTGTTGTGGTTACAGCACTTTCATCACTTATGTAATTACTGCTTTCGTTCGAAAGTCAGGCAAACTAAAACAATAAAATTTGAAGTCTTGCTCAGTTAGCTGTATTGATACAAAGAAATCAAGTAGTTTTGCTGTAGTTATTGATAAGAAGTTCGACATTTTCTCGAAAAATGGATAGGTAAAGTTGAAATGTGTCCATAACCATCGTAGCGGTATGGAGAATTACTTTCGTAACCAACCGTCATGTAGGTTACGGCGAAATGTATGCCATGCGACATGCAGCATTGCTTTGTGCATAGATAAAACTTAATGAAAGAACGCTGCGCTCATAAATCTTTGAAGAGAATTTCTTTACTTTGCCATATCTCACACATCTCCTATTTTCGATCTCTTCTTTAGCGCATGAATCGAGGAATGCCGTTTGACACTCCAAGCTCTAATAAGAGTAGAAGATATGCAATAGTTTGCTAACTTTAGGAGAATGTGTTTTGAGTCGAGAAGGCCTCTTCAGATGAGTTCTATAATATTTTGGGATTTTATTTATTTATTTATTTATTTATTTATTTATTTATTTATTTATTTATAGCAAACACATAGAGTGCACCAAAAAAGTATGACAAAAGATAATAATGCGGTTGTTCCCTTGCTGGGTTGAAAATGTCATTCTCCTTTAAAAGCCGTGCGTTCTGTCGCGATCCTGTTCCCTTACCTGGACGCAGGCGTTGTAGTAGTGATTATTACCGGGGCTTGGCTGACCAACTTAACCCAAAGCGGACGAATTCGCTAGAGATTCCGGGCGAGCATAAAGAGGGACCTTAAAACAGAAGGCTTGCCAACTTCTCAGGTTTCCATGCGAAGAGAGCAATTTGTTTTACTCAAAGGGTGCAGGCTGTTTACATCAACTCGAAATCAAACAAAACTCAGTTCAAAAAACGCAAAAGTGTGCCAAAAGTTCGTCAAATTATCCAGTTGACGTGTAGAGAACTAATTGATGGGCACAGGGCGAGCTATTTAAGAAACATCATCAATTTTTAAAACTTGCAAAACGTCTACAGAGGCCAACTTTTTGCGAAAAATTGAGCAGAACTAGCGCAGGAAGTTACTTCTCTTGGTAAAAGACTCAACAATCGAACCGTACGGCATACGGAAGAATCAAAAGCAACGGATATACTTGTATTTTCCATACGGTATGCAAGAGAAAACCCTTTGGTTCGACTGCCACAAGGCCTGAAAATCCGATAAGTACTAGGTCTCAGCCTTGTTTCCATTTCCAGTCGTGTAATTTTAAAGCAAAGAACCAAGTCGTTGCATATCTTCTATATTTTAGGCAACATAACCCTAAAGCCGATAGCCTCAATTAATAGGACGGTAACAGTCAGGATAATCGGGACAGGCTTCTTGAAAATTAACTCATAGTGAAGAGAAAATTAGTTTTTCGTCAAGGAAAATGCCAAGGTCCTTAGTGGCATTGCACCCCACCATACATATAAGTACGATAGAAAAGACTACTAATGCATTATTTTAGTTTTGAGGACATTAACGGGAAGATTCCATTGTAGAGACTATAACGTTATTTTTTCAATCAAGGACTTGATTGCTTCATACGCCACAGTTTGTTCATCTTTTCCAAAGCAAGATTTTTATGTTATCATCGAAAACTTGGACCTTGATATCTGAGTGAGTCTTCAAAAATGCCGGTAATTCAGCGGTGTTTGGAAAAAAGAGGAGAGGCCAAAGAATGCCACCCTGGAGAACACCACTATTGCAGGGAAGTCGTCTTAAAAACAGCGGTCCCAGCGCGAACGGCCAGACCCCTGTTTTGCAAGTAGGAGGCAAGTTGAGAGAGTAGCTGCCCTCGAATACCGTAGTTCTCTAGTTTGAGGCAATTTGGAGTGTTCAACTTTATCGAAAGCTTTGGATAAATCAAAAAAGACAATATCCACTGATTTTCCGTGATTAATTGCGGTAGTCCAATCAAAAACAGAATCTATAAGTGAGACATCCGTTGACCCACCAGAGAGGAAACCCATTTGGGCAGGCGGAAAAACTTTATTCTTCTCCAGCCAACAGAGCAATATTTCTTTTACGAGTTTTTCAAGAATTTTACCGCAAGGAGCAGTAATGCTAACGGGCCTAAAATTAGAAAGATGATTGTTGCGCTCACGTTATAGTATAGCAGTTACCAACGCTTCTTTCCAAATGTTAGGTCCAAAACTACAAACTGCGATAAGGAAGCATTGAAAATGATAGATAGAGAAAGCTAAAGCACTCGCACATTTCCGGTATGCGATTTGAGGGATACCATCATATGCTACATTAACTGTAGGCTCCAATCTTTTCAAGACTTCATATAGACTATATTGGGGTTAATACGCAAGTCCGGACATTTTTACATTTGACGAACGCTCTTTTTTCAAAGACACTGTTTCCAAATCTGTCCTCGGTATCTGCTGTGCGCCTCTGAATGCCTAATTACGAATATATTAGGCTGTCGGATAAACTCTGTTACACTTTTTTCTAAATTTTCTAAGAAATTTCAGAAGGTTTCTGAAAATCCCGCATTTGCAGCACGTTTAGGACATAACATGGTCTACCCACCAGCATGATTGATGCTGCAAGTGCACAAATGATCAACAAGTTTACGGCATTTTTGTAAAAGCACTCAAATTTTTCAGTTTTTGTCTGGTCTTCTTCTCTGCACCTACTTGCGCTTTTCGTCTTCCAGAATTTTTTTAGAACGTATTTTGGCATTGCCTCTCACATGGATGCATTTCGGTGCCTCTAGCGTTTCAAAAACGAGGGATGAAAAAAATATCAAAAAAAAAAATTCAAAAACTTTCCTATCTTCTTCTTATGTGCATCGTATAGAAATGAACGCAGAAGACATAACGATTTTTTGAAATTTTTGAAGACGTTTTCTTCGTAAAAATTCGATGATTGCAAAGACGACGCACACTGAGATTTGAAGCGCTTAGAAAAACGTGTGCAGACATATCCGCGTTATTCCCCCATATAAACTAAACGCCACAGTCTGTGCCCTACCTGATTACCACATTGTCCGGCCTATTGCTCATTACCTAAAAGAAAGCCAGCTCATTTACGAAATGAGAAGAAACGTCAGCCACAAAGTGGGTGTTTTGCGCACGGATCGCGGATGCGACGATGCCCTTATATAGGCTTTTTGACCCTGCCCATACGCCGTGGACATGAAATCTTTCCAAAGCCTTGGATTTTTGAGAGTTGAAAAATTGTAACAGAAATTATCTGACAACTTAATATTTACACTAAAAAAAATGAGCGCCAGGCTTGCAATTATCGTTTAATAAAAATCAGCTTCTAAGGTCTTTTTGGGGCACAAAAGGAGTGTATCCGAGTGACGGTTGTGTTTGATTTTTGACCCCCAAAAACGTCCATAACTTGGCTACTAAGGGGAGCGCAGCAAATAACGAAAACATTAGAAATCAGCGTTTGATGCTTTCCAAAACATATGAAATTTATCTGAAAAAGCCATCGTTGGTGAAAACAGTTTTCTTGTCTGTATTAACATGAGCAAATAGAAAGGAGCAGTTTAAGACCCTTTGCACAAATTTGTGTTTTTGGAGGATATAATGATTTTCTTGGAAAACGTAACGGTATATACGCTCAAATTGGTCTGAAGATACACTTTACATATTGTTCATTTCTTGCACAATTGCCTATAGTCTAGACTGAATGCAACGAATTTCTTATGAATTTAGCTAAGACTTTTGAACCAACCTAGCAAATTTTACATTTTCTCCTCCTCCATTTTCTTCTCCATTTATCAGCTCACATGAAAACAATTTGAGCTGTTATGATTCAAAATGCACAGTGCTTCTTGTCTTTCAGTACTTTTTCCTTTGTAGAACTCTGTAGCTTTTACATTTGATAGATATATTGTCCTCGTTAAAAGTAAAAGCGGAAACAATAAAATTGGGCCAAATCCACAAAATTATCTGCTCTGAGTCTTTTTCAAAAGAGGATTTCCCGAAAAGCAAAGCGAAAGTCTCGAAACTTCCCTTGCTCTCGCGATTACTGGTTCTTGCAAGCTGTGCATAATGCGACTTTTTCGGTGCCAGTGTTTGGACGAGATAACATCTTCACGGTGACAATCGCGTTGATAAAAGGCTTAGGATAGCAAGAATTCAAGGCTCAGATTGGCGTTAAATCAACTTCAAAAGTAGTTGGTGTCATCATGGATAACTTCCAAAGAAACAGTGTGAAAGCCTTTCAAACTAACACCTCGATGATGTTATAAGAATTATTTGATATGTTGTGAAACGATTACGACTGATAAAGGCTCAGGATGGCATGTTAAATGGACTTCAGAATAGGTGGCGCCATCATGTATATTTCTGAAAAAGCCGTTTGAATGATTAGCCAACCTCAGTCGAAATATAACGGCTTTGTAGAAATCCGCATCCTTTCAAGATAAGCTTATCTGGTATGTAAAATTCATGAAGAGAATCATCCAAGGCTCCAAGTGACTCCGAAGTTTTCCACTCATCTTTTTTCAACAACATGCAATAAAAAAGCTATTGTTCCTATTAGATGAACTCTTTATCATATCCTAAAGGAAAATGTGAAAGAATTTCTTTTATGATTTGCACGATAATTCCAGAGAGCTGATTCCGTCTTTCGAGTCAAGTAAGAGCGATCGTTACCTTCCTGCTTTATGTCTTGTATTTGGTTTACTGTATAATTCCGAATAATCGCTGCTTATCTCCGAAAAGTATGAGATCGTTGACCTTGCCTATTTAACGCAGCTTCGATAGCTAATGATCCTTTTTACCTATGAGGGCCATTTCCAGCATGTTTGTGCTTTTTATAAGTAAGAATTCCAATTTCCTGATGATAATAATTCCGTTCAATATCACTTTATCAGGCATTTCTGGACAAGCATGCTGTATTGATGTGGGAACATCAGACACAGTTATGCCAAAGTCAAATGTGGGAGACCGGAATTTCACTATCATCGAGTCAGTACAGTTTCAAAATCGAGTCAAAACCTTAACGAACGAATTTGCGTAACTATCAAAACAGTGGCTCATAAATCTTCTCTTTCAGATCAACTGAAAGCACTCCCATAAATCAATGTCCATGCACCAACAATAATATCTGGATAGATGTGTATTTTCTCATCGACTCATCTCGAGCTATGACTGCTAATGGATTCGATGAGGTGGGTTAATATTAGGTTGGCCCGAAAGTTCTGTTCTTTCATTTTCAAAAATTTGTAACTCCGCGAAATTTCAACAAATTTGCTTGCTTGTGATTTTAGTAGAAAAAATTGGTCTTTCGCTTTCAAATGCTTTCCGTGGAGCTTCTATTTTATACTGGGTGCGGAGATAAAAATGGAAAACTAAGACCACATAAGATTTGCCCATTTTGGGTTGAGTCACCAAAAATCTGGAACGCTGCAAAAAATTCTGAAATCGTCAAAACATATGTTGGCCTATTCTTTGCAAATGTGAAGAGTTTGTGCTGTTTGGACGTCTCTTTAAAAAGTTATGATTTTCGCGAAAATCGACAAATTAATTAATATTGATTCCCATAGTAAACTCGATATTCATAACTTTTCTCAGAGAGCGTTCCAGATTTTTGGTGACGTAACTTAAAATGGTCAAAGCTTATACGGTCTTACTTTTCCATTTTTATCTCCGCACCCAGTATGAAATAGAAGCTCCGCAAAACAAAGAAAGACTTTGAAAGCAAAAGACTTATTATTTCTAATAAAGTTACATGTAAGCAGATCTGTTAGAATTTCGCGGAGTTACAAATTTTCAAAATGAAACGACAGAACTTTCGGGCCATAATAAATCTCTCGTTATCGCCGAAATATGATTTGTTGCCTCAAAGAAAGGTAAGAACCTCAAACTTTTCGCCTTGGTGACAAGCTCACTTATTGAGTAACAAATTCAGAGTGCGGCTACGCGACACTTTGGACTTGCCAGTTAGTAAAGAAAAAGTTATTGAGCAATAAGTTTTTGTAGCGCTTTTAGTGTGTGAACCGTTGTTTTCGAGTATAGCGATGTAATTTCATCCTTCCAGTAGTTTGAACCAAACAGTCAAAATGTATCTTTTTAGTTTAGCGAAGTGCAATGTGGAAAAGATTTCGAGACGTTTAGCTTTCGAACATACTCAAAGCGGTCCCTTTTCAAAATGACATCTGCCTGATCTCAGCTTAGATAAAATTTTCAAGACGATCTTTTCTCGTGAGCGTTTTACCATCACTGACGCAAACATTAAACATTTTGTGGGTGATTGTATCGTACTAATGTGAATGTCCCAATTTTTTTTACAACTGGGAATAACTCAAAACACTCGCGACATCCAAAATCTGAGTGCAGTGGGAGGGGGCAGCTTCATAAGAGGCGAAATACTTCTTGACTTCCTTGTACTATTGGCAGTCCTGCCAAATCAAAGTGGCGCACTTTCAACCTGATTTCCTCACTGGTTCCTCTTCATATGAACGTTATACGGTGATGTTGAGAGATAAACTAAATTGAGTGATTGAACAGTCTCGATCCAATGGGCCGCGGCCAGCTATCCTAGATGAACTGTACTCAGCCTCATAGCTGCCTTTCCCTCGTCTCTTTTCTTTCTCTGAATGAATAATCTTTTATATAAAGCTGAATGGCTGTTTGTCTGTATGTCTGTATGTATGTCTGTATGTACGCATGTACCTTTCGTCATCGATCGATATCGATTTTATCGATTTTTTTGCAAAGTTAGACTTCCAGGGCTGGGAGTTGGAACAGAGGGTAGTCAGTATGCTGATTATGAATACATTGTTCGCAAAATCATCCATTAGTTATACGATTTTATCGATTTTTTGCAAAGTTTGAGCTACGGGGCTGGGAACGCACGGGATAAGTGAGCATGTTGATAACTAACAGAGCGGAAAAAGAAAATTGGAGTTGATATGTAGAAATGGGGACAAGGAAAGGTTGTACAGAGATAGGGATGGGAGCTTTATCATAGTGAGGGGTCGGGCGGAGCCGGCTAAGCCAGCTAGTAATATATTAGGTTGGTCCGAAAGTTCTTGCGCATCATTTTCAAAAAATCATAACTTCCTTGCCACTCAATGGATTTTGCTGAAATTACATCTAATCGAAAGAGGAATCCATGCTCTTTACAGCAGTTGCTCAGCCATGAATTACTTTGAGAAACTTCGAGAGTTACAAGCAGTTGAATGAAATCAATCAAGATTGGCAATTTTCGAGCTGGATCACAGAAAATTTTGGAGGTATTTTTATTTGATAGAGAAAATTTTGCGCATTACGGTGGTACCTTTTCCACGAATTAAAACGAAAAAGATCGAGAGTTAGGAGCAAACAAAAAGAATTGCTTCAGTTTTGCAATTTTTGAGCATGCTCAAGAAAGCCTAGAAACGTCACAGAAAAGGCGGAAAAGTCATAAACATGGGTTTTGCAACCTTTTCTTTCTAGCTGAGCAAGAATCGTGTCAATCGAGAGCAATTTTGTTTTTTGTGATTTTTTCGGATTTTCAGGCCTGCGTTTTTCACGAAAATCAAAATGGCCCTCGATTAGCAGGATTTTCACTCAGCTAGAAAGGGAAGGTCACAAAACCAATGTTCATGACTTTCCGCCTTTTCTGTGACGTTTCTAGGCTTTCTTGAGCGTGCTCAAAAATTGCAAAACTGAAACAATTCTCTTTATTTGCTCCTAACTCTCGATCTTTTTCGTTTTAATTCGTGGAAAAGGTACCACTGTAATGCGCAAAATTTTCTCTATCAAATAAAATTACTTCCAGAATTTTTTGTGATCCAGCTCGAAAAATGCCAAACTTGACTGATTTCATTCAACTGCTTGTAACTGTCGAAGTTTCTCAAAGTAATTCATGGCTGAGCAGCTGCTGTAAAGAGCATGGATTCCTCTTTCGAACAGATATAATTTCAACAAAATGCATTGAGTGGCAAGGAGGTTACGATTTTTTGAAAATGATGCGCAAGAACTTTCGGACCAACCTAATAAATCCTCCAAAATGATTATGCAGCTTTGAGTTGGGATGAGTCAGGTAACAACACTTTCGCCGTGTTGGGAAGACATCTACCTGCTGAGAACTAGGTCAGCTTAATTTTTGTACTTTCTTCTTTTGTAACCATTTTCAACGGGCAAAATAGAAGTGGAACATCAATTTGAACCTGATATCATATACATCAATAAGATACGATTACTCAAACAGCCTCTGTCTTAGCAACATCATGTCCAAAATTACCTGCAAATCACTGAGATTGTCTTTACGAATAGAATAAAACAAAGATGACCCCTGTTTTCAATTATACTCATTCTAACAAGGAGAGCCTTACTGGCATTTTCGGTACCTTTTCGTTATCTGGAGCTGTTCTTAATTTCATAACGTGTGCACTCCATTTTGATGAAATCATTCGAAGCAGACTGCCCTCTGCCGCTTGTGAAAAAAGTTGGCTTTTTGTCTTTTTTGAACGTGTCACTCAAAGGTCCTGCATACTCAAAACTGAGGGTGGGGGATTTCATCGCGGTACAAGCGCCGGAATCCTAACTGCTATCACCTAATTCAACGCAAAATTTGGATTTAAAAGCATGCGCTCAGATTGCGGACCTGTCCACAATCTGTAAGAGTAACCGCTTCAATAATATGCTCTTATATAGAAAATGGGCACACGAAATCGATGATCATGTTCATCTGGTCCGAAGTGGGTATGAAAAGTGATGTATCCGAAATGGGCTTTACAGTAAAGGAGTATTCAAAATCAACTTTTATCAAAATAGATTCTCACAAAATAGATTAGCATCATGATGGATTCCAGTTGTAAACATTAGTATCAGCCCCAATGCAGAAATCAGTAACAGCAGTAACTGTTAAAGGGTAATGCCTTTAACAACAAAAAATAAGCTCGAACAATATCCAAAGTCGGTGATTTGCGTTAGGAAAACAATTAAACACTCCAAAGGGCAGATGCACTTCAGCGGTTTGAAGCCCATTATGTAAACATCGTTCTGCAGACACGCATCCTTGTGACGTTACAAGTCTTCACGCTTGATATAGTGTATAAGTGCAGAACTACTTTATCGTAAAATTCATCCATTTGCTGATGTCGCCATTAATGTAAAAAAGATGAGTTCTTAAAACTCTTGATAGGTGTTTACACAGGACAAAGTCCAAAAACACGACTGTTTCACCTTGCTCACTTTTTTTTCGAGAAGACAGTTCCTTCCAGCGTGATTCATCCTTGTAATTTTTAACCAAAAAACTGGTGGTGATTCTAGACGTTTATTTTGCATCCTTCGCGAAATGATACATTGCCGAAGCAAGCATTAATTACTTGCGTTTTTCATTCAAAAAGTGAATATGTTAGTGGCTAATTACCAGATGCGGTCCGAGGGCTCCACCCTCCCCCCGAACGAAACCTTGGACGAAAATCCTGCGATTGCCACTGCTAATTACATATCTGCTGCGACGCATTTCCCAGCTATGAGGAAAAAAATATTGGATAGAACAACGGCACTGCATATTTAAGAATGTCATTATTTTGCATTAGCACACTAGGTGCCAAATTTGACAATTTTCAAGGCCACCTCCTTTGCCGAAGCCGTGCTGTATAAATTGAACATTGGACAGGCGGACGGCCAAAGAACTCGCGCAGGGTGAGCTATAATAAAATAAATGCTAGGCTGATTTAAAAGTTCTGTCCAATTTTCAATTACCTTATTTTAACGCAGCTATTTTCTTAGGGCTTTGCACTCATGGGACTGTCATAAGCACAGTCTAGAAGTACTTTTCCTGCTCTTTTTAGTGCTCACTGATGCTTGGCGAATCAACTTTTCTGTGATGAAATTTTGAGCTCCGAATCAAAGTTGCCAAAATGCAGTAATCCCCAAGAAAAAGTTTCCATAAAGGGAAACTTCCGCAGTATCCGCAAAATTAAATATATGATAGTTCATAATGGTTGAGTGTGTAATGGGCTGACTTAAGCACACATTTCCTCCGGCGTAGAGAATGTCTTACTTTTCCAGTTTTTTTTTTCAAAGATGGAAGACAAACGTAGTTATTCAACAAGCGACAACAATCTACGTATAGCGACGGGTGATGCATTCAATATTGCATATGTTAGAGTAAAGCGAGGCAAGCAGGAACCGTCAGCCAACTGGTTTTTTCGTTTGTGACAGCAAAAAAATTAAATATTAGAAAGTCGGCATATTTTCGCACGCGAAGGAGGGTTCACATAATGTTTTTTTTTTGATTTGCTTGCAAATAATTCTATGCAGCGAGAAAAACTCGAATTCTCTCTAACCGCAAAAGAACCTTTAAAGCATAGGCTACTTGATGATGGCAGCCAAATATGTCTGTTCATCCTCATATGGAAGCATTAGTAAGTCAAATTGGGCGGTTTTGAAGAAAACCTAAATTGTTGAAAAAAAAATTATGAGATTTTAGATGGAAAGATCGCAAATTGGATAGAACTTTTGAATCAGCCTAGTATAATAGATTTATATTTTGATGAAAAGTTACAAAAACTTGGCCTAATGTCTTGGTAGGGTTTGGCAGTGATAATTTCCATTCTACAGCTTCATCTCTTACTTTGCCGATGCGAGTAAGAACTACGATTTAACCGCCTTTAAATCATCCAACGACATGATCGATAGAGCTGATTTTACCTACAATGGCAGCAGAGGGACAAATATCGAGTCGTGAGTTTGATAAAAAAAATCTTGGGAAGCTGAGCTATTTTCCAGCTAGATAGAATCTAATTAATCCCTAAGATGACGAATATTTTTAGTGCCATTAAATTAGCTGCAGAAAGTTTCGAAACATCATCGCATCGAAGCAACGTACAGAAAGTCATCGTAATTATTGGTTCAGCTTATGAGTAAGCTTACTGGTTTGCTGCACAAACGCAAGAAAACGATGGCCATTTAGAAACGGAAACTACAATGACCCAACTAAAGTCGCCAAATCATTCACTCAAGACGGTGGTTTCATTATCACCGTAGGTAAGCGGAATGAATTAGGCTTTGTGAGTAAACCAAGCCTCCCTAATGCACAATACTTCCCAGACTATATACAAGAGCACCCTAATCCGGTACCTTTGTTGAGCACACTTTCCAGTGGGCCGGAATATTCCTTCACAAACCTTTATGGAAATCTTACAACCGAACAAATTCGACAAGCTTTTTGCAGAAGTGAGTTTTGATAGAGTTTCGGCGCAACATGAATAATCCACAGAAAGATAGACTGTAATAGTTGATTACAACGTTTATCAATAAGAATGTGCACTTGGTATGCCAAAATGGTAGCCGAATAATCTTTTGAAGGATCTGACAAGAATCTTCAGCAAACTTCAAAATTTGTCTCTTCTCAAGTAAGAGCAAAAGACCATAGGCGGTATCTATCAATCTCCTATAAGAAGAGGTTCCCCTACAGGTAATATCCCGCACAGGCGAGGGCCCTGGCGCCCGCGATATATCAAGTCAAGTTGATCGGGTGATCGAGCTCCTGTCTGAATGTTATGGTCCGATCTGGCAAGTTTGGACATGTCGAGCACGGCAGTCGGGCAGCAGTTCCCCATCTCGACGAGTCGGGCGGCGCTGCTCCCTTGGACCGCACTTCCCAGCCTTTCATAAATCGCGGGAAGGGCGCTGTCTCTTGCGCGGGTTCTCGTTAACAACGGCCCGCAGAGCGAGTGGGAGATTAATAAACACGGCCCCATGAAAGACGGCGTTCTCCTCTCAACACTAAAGTCTGCATATTTCTTGCGTAAGACACAAGCATAACTAGCATCAACAAGATAGGTTTTTTAATGAATATTATAAAACGTATTTGTTCAGTTAACTGCTTTTGTCCCACAAATTATCTGCCCTTTATGCAAGGTGACGTTAGACCAACTGGTGGCTGCTATAAAGCCTTTTCCGATTCTGCTATCCAGGTATGCTGCTTAGAAAATTTCAACCTTATAACTTGTTTGTTGCATAATATTCAAGACTCTTGCTGCCAAGAACTGTCGACAGTATCACGATGCCTATCTCGTAAAAGTTGAAAGCAGAGCGAAATCACAATTTCTGAGCGCAGGTAAATGATTTTAGTCACAATTTGGCAAACATATTAGATCGTTCCATAAGTTCGTGCAGTTTTCACTCTTGTGCTCATTACTCTGAAGGGCAGTTGTACTGCGGCAAGACGCGCATGCAGAGCTCAGCAGAGGTGGCGCTCACACGCTGGATGTCGTTTTTTGAGAGAATTCCAGAAGGGAAGTCGTAAAGCCAGGGTGTTCCCTAGATCTGACAAAATATTGGCATGCACATTCACCCGAACTCCAGGCTCTGATGTCATTTTACCAGCAACAAGTAAATTGACACGTGACAAATATGAGTAATGCATAACTTATGTACATACGATCCCAACGTGCTAAGACATGATCTTCATACACAAAAAAATAAAATTCAGTATGCCTATTGAAGCTAAGCAGTATGAAGCCATCAAATTTTGTATATATTAGGTCGTGTTATAAGTTCTGTCCCATTTTTTGGTTTAGTTTTTTCTTGACAACACTGACTATATTTAAGATAAAGTGTATATGCTTTTGAAAGCTCTAAGTCTGCTCTGCAGGCTCATATGCATCATTCCCCAACGTAGCAGGAAATTAAAATGATTTTTATCATTGAAACAAAAATTCCAAAGAGCCGAAAAATCAATTTTCGACATCTTTTTTCCTCCAAATTTTTCTCGATTTTCATTGGTAAAACTTATTAAACAAGCTTGACAACAACCAAAACAATCTAGTAGACTTTTACACTTATTCTATCACTGTTTGTGCACGTTCCCTTTCTTCCACCGGCTATTTAATGACATTTTTTCAAAAGTCGGCAAGGCAAGACTTTGTCACGGCGATGTTCGCCGTCTCGCGTACCCAAGCTGTGTGGCTCCCAAAATTCGAACTTTGAGTATTTAACCTACGGATTCGATGATTTTGAAGCCACAAATTACCCCTTCTGTTTTTCCGGATGATCCGCGTACCGTCTTCCCTCAGGATGGCTTCAGATGATGCCCAACACCAACGTTGAAAAGGCGTTAGAAAGAAGACTTTTCTAAAGTCTATAAAAATGATTTTTGAAAAGTTTTAGCACTTTTGAAGCGCAATAGAAGCCAATTTGCTACACGCTTTTACGTGTAGCAAATTCTTCGAGCTTATTCCTAGGCATTCTGACTAATTAGGAGGGCGACGTAATGTAGTTGTCGAAAATGGACTTTTTCCCTGTTCGATTTTCCAAATTTGACGCTGTAAAACTTTTTCAAGTCATCTGATGTAGAAAACTGAGATGAAAGTTTTAATAGAGAAGGCTTAGAGCTTTCAAATGCATATAAACAATCTGCAGAACATCGCGCAAAATACTGAGAAAAAATAGAAAGAAAAAATGGGACAGAACTTATTACACAACCTAATACTTCGCGACGATGAGCAAAACGAAAGTATGAAAAATTATAAAAAAAATTAATGCGGGAATGAGTTGTGTTTTTCTACAGTTTGCTCCCGCGCAATCTGGGAGCACCCTGATGTTGCGCGGGACCAAAATAACTCATTTGCTCCTTCCCCCCCCCCTTCTCACATATTTTCCAAAAATTTTTTCATAAACTCTTCTTTAGTTCAAGTTCTACCTACAAGCATTCATGTTGACCCAAGTTTTATCTCTTCTCTTTGCTATCGCTCTGAATGTTATAAAAACCTTTTTATCGCCTTCAAATGTCCAACTTTCTTGGTTTTCTCTTAGAACTATTATGCACTCATTATCGCTTGCATATTGTAAGTCGTACTTTAACAAAAACAGAAAGATAGTCTCGATTTCGGCATTGTCAAAAGGGTTTCGTTTCAAAGATTTTCAGCTGCCAGCTCCTGCTAGGCACTGTGCGCATATCATTGAGAAGAGCTGATTATGCTCTTTGTGACGAACTTATTGATTCAGGTGTTAATCTTATATACTTCGTAAATCTCCAAAAGTAGAACTTTCAAGAGGCCAAAATAAGCGTTTTCGACACCTGCACATTTTTTCTTGTAAAGAACTTGTTTTTGTGAATTGTCCTGCCAATTATTGAACAAAGCATTCGCACCTCAATATGAGACACAAAATAATTGGATTGCTTCATAAGACAAGGGCTGAACATTGTGTCCATTAAACAAGACTTTTCTTGGAACAAGCAAATGGTCCAGCATTGAAAATTGCTGGACGGCAACAAAACACTTGATCATACTGTACGTAACCGATTACACCTTTCTAATCCCTACTGCAAAAAAAGACCAAAAGATAAGTCCGGCAAGTTTTCCTGCATGACAAAATATGGCTCCGTACGGCAAACGTCTTCATAACTGTTCCGCAAGATTTGACTAAAAGGTACGGCTTTCTTTATTATCTAACGTACTTCTCAATTTTCGCTCTATCAGATTATCATTTGTTCAGATCTTCTGTAAACCATATGAACGATGCTCGTTCGGATGAAGACGATCTTGAGCGCTATTCAGGCGCTTTTTGGGACCAGACTCATCGAGTTTTGAAAAGGGGATCAAAATTTATGAAACTGTAGCAGAAAGTTGTGCGCGTCAAGTGAACATAAATCACCAACCAAATTCGAATTTCGTCATCTTGTTGGGTTTTAAAAGTGGTACGAATTTGTGGAACAAATTTTTTTTTTGGGATACTGCAAAATTTTGCTCACCCATAATCCCTAAATTCTGCAAAAATAGCGTCGCTCCATGTTCCCAAAAAACTTAAAATGCTAATTTAGTTTTGGAATTTTGAAAGTCAGTTTGTTTACCTACAAGTTTAAACAAGTCGATGCACATTTTATATGATCCCTGTGAATAACTTTTGGATATTTCGCGACCCATTGTCGGGGGAACCGTCTTCCCCTACCCCTTCCCCCCCCCCCCCAGTTCGTCAGTGATTAATGGTCCACTATATATTAGGTTGTCGGATAATCTCTGTTACACTCCTTATTTCGATGTTAAAAATCTCAGGAGCTTTGGAAAGATCTCATCTTCACGGTATATGGGCAGGGTCAAAAGGCCTATTCAAGGGTACAGTCGCATCCGCGATCCACCCGCAAAACACCCATTTTGTGGCTAAAAATTCGTTTTTTTCATTTTTCTAAATGAAGTGGCGTTCTCTCAGGTGATGAGCGATAGACCAGACAATGTGGTAATCAGGTAGGGCATACTCTGTAGCGTTCGGTTAGTATGGGGGGGGGGATAACGCAGACATGTCTGCACACGTTTTTTCTGAGCGGTTCAAATCTCAGTGTGCGTCATCTTCGCAATCATCGGAATTTTTACGAAGTAAGCATCTTCAAAAAATTTAAAAAAATCATTTTTATGTTTTCTATATTCATTTCTATAGGACGCACATGAAAAGAAAAATTTGGGAAAGTTTTTGAATTTTTTTGATATTTTTTTCACCCTTCGTTTTTGAAACGCTAGAAGGACCGAAATGCCTCCATGTAAGAGACAATGCCAAAATACGTTCTAAAAAAATCTGGAAGAGGAAAAGCGCAAGTAAATGCAGAGAAAAAGATCAGACAAAAACTGAAAAATTTGACTGCTTTTACAAAAATGCCGTAAACTTGTTGATCATTTGTGCACTTGCAGCATCAATCATGCTGGTGGGTAGACCATGTTATGTCCTAAACGTGCTGCAAATGCGGGATTTTTAGAAACCTTCTGAAATTTCTTAGAAAATTTAGAAAAAAGTGTAACAGAGTTTATCCGACAACCTAATATATGCAATTGTAGAAGAATTACCTTATAGTGTTTCCGTCAAAAACTAAATTCTGGATTGGTTTGAAATACCTCGCCGCTACCGGTCTCTATCAATGGTCCGATGGAACATATCTCGTGAGAAATACCATCTTTATTCCTGGTAACAAAATCATCGACATTCAGGGGTCTTCTGATTTCCAAATGTGGGCTCCAGGATATCCTAATGCTAACGCCGGCTATTGCGTCTACATGTACCAGTATACCGAATTTAGGTGAGATTTTCAGTAAATGGCAACTTTAGCACTGTTTTCGCACGTTTAGTGTTATGACTTTGAAGTTACTGAAAGGGGGAATGGCGACAACCAATTCTTTTTCTTGAGTCAAATCCTTCAAAATTTTCAAAAAAATATCTTGATCATCTACAATGGAAAGTAAATCACATGCGTAATTTTAACAACAATGTAGACAACTTTCAAAAACTTGGGAAGCAGCCTTTTCCATCTCCTCTCTTGGGTCCACCACTGTTTGTCAGTTACTACCTATAAAAAAGAATCAACTATTCAGCTATGGATGGTTCAACGACGAATGCAGTGATGATCAAAACTACATCTGCCAGAGTGTACCGTGTAGTGCCGACAACTATTGTGCCACAAGAGATTAGAAACTTTAGTTTTTTCTCAATAAATGGTCAGACCAAACCCTAAGCTCTGAGCAAAAAATGACTGATTAAAATCACAGAGATTATTTGTAAAAATAAAAATTAGCAAAACAGCGAAAACTTTCCTAAATAGTACTTAAGCAAATCCAATAGCAGCTTGAAAGAGATTCACGCGTGCTTCTCTCATGCGCTTATGTTGAGCTGGCACACGCACTATATTAATTGATAAAAACGATCTTTGAAATCATTTTAAAGAAATGAAATATCTTACAAATCATAGCATTTTTAGCCTGTATAGTCCTTGATCAACAACAAATATGAGTGCTATGAAAAAAGTATTCGCATCGACTAGTTCACTCCAAAATATAATAATCAATCATTTTTCTTTTTCTTAGTTGATGTCGTTGTCTTTTCTTTCATTCTCATCTGAAGCGTTTCAGAGTCAGAAATGTTATTTTTCAGCAGATACAAGTGACGAAGAAGGCGCCTGCGCTGTAATAGAAGTAAAAATGTTGGTGCTTGAATTTCGAAAAGGAGAATCTCTTGATTCTGACTTGCAAGTGCCCACGATTTTGTCGAAAACGTCTTCTTCAGAGATTGTGTTTCATTGTCGTTTGTTGCAACTGGTCACTGTACTGCATTGGCCGTCCCTTGAAACCCAATGTTCCAGACCTACCACGAGGTCTTGTCTGTAAATGATGTTGTCTACATGTGTTTTGAGCCTTCAAACCAGATGTCAAGTGCGATCCGCTATGGGAAGTACATGACCGTTTGCTTGCTGTATCGCGGGGATGTCGTTCAGAAGAATGTGAAACAGTCTATTTCTGCCATCAAAACCAAACGCAGTAATCCGTTCGTTGAGTGGTGTTCCATAGGATTCAAGGTAAAGTTTGATATCTAATATACAACTGTAGATAAATGTTCATCGTTCCTCCAATGCTCACGTCTTCATCAATTATCGACCTCTGTTCTGTTTCCAGTTGTGACATTGCAAGGCTACCTCATGCTGTTTGCATGTTGTCGAACCTTGTCCTGCCTCCGCAATAGCAGTTAGGTTACTGCTAATGCGGAGGCATGGGCTCGTATTCAAATTGTTCTGATGTATGCTAAGCATCATTTTTGCACCGGTAAGCTTTATTGGTCCTTTTCGTTGATTATCATAGCTTGTGAAATCTTGGGATGATGATGCCCGAGTGGTGGTGTCCTCTCCACGGACCAAACACATCTACTGAAGGCTTGATTGCTCTTGCACTACTTGAGTGCAGTTAGGTGTATGACTATGTCCATGTGAGCGCAAGCCTCAAATTCCTATTTCAATAGATTTATCAAAACAAGAGCTGATCGCCTGAGAAGTATAACTGAGCAAATGGAGCAGCTGCAAAAAGATGATAACTGCTTACTTCAGCAGTATAAAGAAATTACAGTGTGGAATGACCTTTGTCATTAGCATATCGTTCCATTTTCAAAAAACTAGAAGGTGTTTTTGTGGCTTAGAGAGGGGTTCGGGAAACTAGCAACGAATTCAATATCCAGCAGCTACACTGGCATTGCTTGCTCCAAGCAGTTTCTTCCATAAATGATTCGAAAGCCCTTCACCTGAAGGCATAGATGGTTACTATTCATATTACATCATATGCATGATGATCTTGAAATCTTTTTAGGCTACTGTCTGGTGAGCTTCGCTTAGGTGGTCGAGTGCGAAACGGGAAAGCTTTTGTAAAGAACTTGCTTCCACAGGTGAGTACTGCACTTCGAGCATTTGTATTCTGTGATGTCGTTACATTGTTTGGGCCTGTATCCGTAAACGAAAAGTTTGTATACGACTCACTAAAGTGTCGACAAGTTGGTCAGGCGTTTTGAGATTGCCAAAAATCAATTGAGATCAATTGTTTTCCCGCCAGTGCCACCTGTTCAGGTCACACCGGCCTGCGAATCACTTGTTATTATCTCGTTACATAGATGTTTGTTATTTACATCGTTGCACATTGAGATTATAGTGGGTTCCCATTGACCTCCGCTTTTAAAGTGTTTATGGCTGTCAATAAAGCGCTGCTGCCAATAGCATTTTTTAGACTCAAATTTTTGGTAATCGTGCCTGCTTCGCTCCCGTATAGGACAAGAAACGTTTTGAAAGACTTATAGGCACTTCAACATGATTAACACAGTCCCAAGCTAGCGCGTATTTCAGTCTGTCCAACATCATGTGTAGCTGAATATCGATATCTTTGTTCTGCACTTTTCTGTACAACAACAACCTTTGTAACTTCCAAATTAGCTCGGATTACTCGTCAAAAAGCTTGACAATTATACTATCTCCATCGCAAAACATCTTCCCTGCGACTTCAACCGAACAATTGCATTACCACTTTCAATATGAATAATGAAAAAAAAAGCGGCCGTTCGTTCGTACACGGATGTCATTGTTGTTGAAACTTCAAAAAAAGTATTCTTCTCGATTGAATCCCAAGAATTCCGGAAGCCAACAAGAAGAAAAGGAAGGCGTGGAAAGAAGTGCGGACGTTGTATTGGTACAGTGTAAGAAATTCATGACTGCGAGCAAATAAAAAGTTGGGGAATCGCAAATCACACGTCAGGGATGTCCTATTTAAGGAGCGCAGGTAATGAATAGCTCAATGATACAGACCGAGATGAATGAATCCCTAGATACCAGCAGCGAAGGGGAAGGTCTTGACGTCCCGCTGGAGCATGCAGCACACGCATCACTCATCAATCGCTAAAGCTCACATGGCCGTGGCCCAGTTGTTAGGAAAGGAGAGTAATGTCTGAAGTTGGAAAAAAAGGATACGTTCGTGGACAAAGTGGATTATCTAAATTATAATGTTTATTTCACCGATAGTAATGTTAGGAGACGATAGCGATTCAAATTCAACATCGGGAGGGGTTGCAAGGAGGAGGCCTGGTTGGCGGGCAAACTTGCATAATATGGAAGAGGCTGGGCGGGAGGGGATGGAACCACAATACGTTATGAGTGCACTTCGTTCCATAATTATGCATTGTTGCCGCTTATAACCCCATAATCATTTTTTCAGGAAAGCGCTTGATTCGGGGGGAGGGGGAATACCGATTTCTCGGAATCGACACTGGAAGGGACAACAAAAGGGGGGACTGGTGGACGGGCAAACTTGGATGATATGGAGCAGGACGGTAGGCGAAAGAGGAGGAGGGCCAGCGTTTCGGAGTAAAATTGGAATTTACAGAAGTTGCTTGCCCCCTTTCCCCACCTTTGATCGACGGAAGCGAACTGAAGCGCATTCAATGCAAACAATCAAGCAGCTTCAGGATGTGGGCAATCTGCACTTTGCGTATCAACTTTCTATTTCAGTTTGACTCACACTCCTCTTCCAGCACCAATCGCGTAAAGAGGCGCCGCACATCTGCCAAAACTATCAATGATTTGCAGCTCACAGTACTCAAGGTAAGTGGTTCGCTCTATCCCCCTTCATATAATCTCAGTCTTTTTGAGGAGCAACAAGCCATGCACACAAAGAAGTCCATTTGCTCTTGACATCTACATCTGCTATAATTGCAACACTACTTCTTCCAGTCCCTCATCAATGGCGGTCAACATTGGACACAGGAGAGCCTTGTTTTCCGGCCGTAAAAGCAGTCGACACCCCCACGAGTTTTGCCCTCCGAGAGGGGATGCCAACTTGGCGAAATTGCAGACCTGGACCTAATTTAATTTAATTAACTATAACTTATTTGTAAATGTTTTTTTAATTTCTTTGTTATTGTTGTCGTTCACCCTAAGGTTATACTTATCATGGTCTCGATATTTTGTACATTTCGAAGTGCCTTTTATGTAGATTTGTTGAATTGTTTTTGTTGTGTTTTGAGATTCTCTACTAAAATCTCACAGCGAGAATCCAGTGTAAGGACAAGCCGGCCTCGAAAGAAGCAATTCGTTAGTTTTAACATGTGCAGGTTCTGAGAATCCCTTCTTGAACTCAAAGCGAACTCCACAAACTCCTGACATGGAGTTGGTACGAAGGCAGGATCTGGCACGGAGCTAGCGCTGCGCGCATGCCCATCCTCAGACATTCGCAGTTAAGTCCCGCCGGAGATCCGCCCAAAAAATGAGATTTCGCGAGAAAACCGGGAGTCTTGCGCGACTCCCGGTTTTGTCCCGACTTTCGGGACAATCCCGACAGTTAAAAAGTGGCGGGAGATTACCGGGAGTCGCGATCATCGATTGTGACGCTATTGCGCGTCAGTATCGACTCATTCCTATTTCCACACAGGCTGTTTTACTCCATCATTAGGTTTTAATGTTAGCTTTTCTCGATCTAGTATATGTATCCTTTTCCCTGAGTGTAGACTGCAAATGCCCTTTGGTCATACATTACAATTTTCACGCAAGTTTTTCACCTCGTACATCGTACTGATAGTCATACACACCGTCACAAAACCATACTTCTATATACAAACTTTGTCTTTGTCATTCGTATCATTCGCAGTTTACACTGGATTCCCATTTTCTGATCACTTCCTGCTCTCTTGGGATATCAGAAAACAAAATAACAGTTCTCGATACATAGGCCAGTGGGGTACGTAAAACACATTATTCAGTGCAATTGCACATGCATACACACGTAATCTTACGTCAAAGAAAAGTAGGTTATTTGTTATTATCCTAACTTTGACTTGCATCCTTTTATCTTCACTTCATATTCGGTGCTATTACCTTTTGACCCTACGTTATGCGATTGCTCAATGTGTAGCATTCGTGCAGATATTCAACTATACACGTAATATAAGCACATCGTCACATAATTATTTTCTATATGCAAAGCTTGGCTGTGGGCATGGGCATTCATATCAATCGCGGTGTATACTAAAACCTTTTTCGATCATTCAATGCTCTATTTTGGGTAATAACATAATATAGTTAGTTCTTAATACGTAGGACGTGGGTTTGCGCCATATTCATTGTCTTGCAATTGCGTATGCATACACACAACACGCAATCTCACGCCAAAATAATGGTTGGTTATCACTCATCTACCTGACTGTTACTTGCATCCTTGTCTCTCTACTTTATAGTCTATGCTATCGCTGTCAACCTTAGTACCAGCGAATTATTAATCATACCTATAGCGGCTTATTTTATTCCTTTTTTCAATATTCAATGTTCTGTTTTGGATTATAACATAAAAAAGTTGGTTTTCGATGCGTAGGACGTATCCTCGAGTCATTTGTAACTTAATATGTGAGTGTGCACACTATGCACGGCAACCGACGGCAACTATACTGGCAACACGACGGCAACACTCCTCACTGAAACCCTTTCTAGCCTAATAAACTGTAGATATGTGCTGTGCTAACTAGCATATATCATCAAATCAAAAGAGACAAGAAAACAAGCAGAAAGCACTGGAAATGAGCAGGTCCTAACCTTGCAAGTTCGTCAAGTAAGGCTTACGTGCATTGCACATATTAAGTTACAAATGACTCGAGGATAGATTGGCGCAACACCCGTTGTTTTGTGCAATTGCGTATGCATACACACGCAATCGAACGCCAAAAGGATGGTTGACTATTACTATCCATCTGTCTCTTTCGTCCTTTTCTCTCCACTTCATAGTCTGTGCTCTCGCTGTCGACCTTACAATCGTATTCATACCTATCGCGGCTTAAATTATTCCTTGTTCTTTCAATGCTGTGTTTTGGGTTAGAACATCGAAAAGTTGGTTTTCAATGCATATATTCATGTATTCATGCATATATTCATGTATTCAATGCATCAAGGGCACACAAGAATGACCATTTTTCGTTAATGATGGATTTTTATAGGTTCTATTTTTTGCATGTAAGTGAGACTAAAATTTCGAGTCTATCCTGATCGAGAGGGGCGCACTTAGGCATGCCAGGCAAAACAAGAAATCCAAAAGTTTGCATGCAGACAATTCGGTAAAAGGGGAAGATTTCCGCATCTGCAGGACCTGCCCGAAAGTCTGGTCACATTTTTGAGAAGTGAGTGATTGATGGTCTTTCTGAAAATTCTAAAATAGATCTTCCAGATTTCGTTCTTGATGGTGTTGGCCTCTACGCAGAAGAACTGCTGATGAGTGATTCCGAATGCGCGCGGCGATCAAATAGGTATAGATAGAAGTGTTTCTACCTTTTGATATCTCATTGATTTAGATTTTGGCTGGGCCTAAGGAACGACGATGAGGCTAGGACGAAGACGTTTGACAAGTTGTCAGAGGCGAGGATGAAGCTTAATGGATTAGCACGAGTGGCTATAGGAAGAGCTATGTGGGTTTCTTTCAAAGAGAGTCTTTATGAATCTATTGAATTTGAAGTTCAGAGGTGATGTGCGCGCCTACCATTTTGATGCTGATAAGGAGATGCTGTCGCCACCCTCGGTAATATTCATATATGATTTTTCAAATTAGTGTTAGATTGTTATTTTTTTCCAGAAAAAGCGTTTTTGCCCTACTACCACGCAAGATTCTTTGGCGCACGAGCAGGCTAATGAGTCAGAGCATGAGCAAGACGAAGAGATCGAAGATATGAAGTCGATTTGAATTATGGATTCAATCTCACACATTGATCTCGACATTCCTGTTTTTTTCTGTTCACTTAGTTATAGTGATTTCAATGTTCTTTTTCTGTCACGAATGCTAATAAAGAGTGTTTCTGAACTCTGTGTCGAGCACAGCACCTTTGTAAAATGTGTAGTACAAATTTTTGAAGGAGAACCAATTCTAGAAAAAGCCCAGCCGGAAGCTGAACGGGTCGCTGCTATATCGCGTCTCCCGCAGGAGACTGCAGTCTAGAGCGGGAGTCCCGCCGGTGACCGAATCGCGAGAAAACCGGGACTCCCGGTTTTCTAAGTAGAAAACATGTCGGGACAAAACCGCGTGTCGCGCCGCATTATCCCGAACGAAAACCGGGACTCCCGGTTTTCTCGCGAACCATTTTACTTGTGTCCCGCAGTCATTCCGGCGGGACACAACTTTTTCACCGGCGGGACTTAACTGCGAATGTCTGAGTCTGAGTGTGACCACAGAACTGAGCGGAGCTGGCACGAAGCTGGCACGGGTCTGCCATTGTCCCTTATTGAGTTGATTACGGTTTTATTATTGTTGACTGTTGATTTAAGCACATTATAACATAATGTTTTAATAAACGTAACAAAAAAGCGTATAACAAATCAAACAGTTGTAGTGCACACAATACGAAATATGGGTTGCGCAAAGTAACCACGAGAACTCCATTATGGTGAGTTCCTGCTTTAACTACAGTAAGGAAGAGCGTTATGATTTCCTCCACATTGTGGATCTAAGTTAACACGTTGACGACAGTGTCGCGCAATGGTGCGCGACACCCTAAATACCAGTTCTAATGTGCACTATGGTTCCAATTCGTGTACACATAATCAATTTAGGCTCAGAAGTTTTTCATGTTGGCCCCGCCCCTCTTTTGGCAAACTCCGCCCACTTCGTTGTCCTCTACAAAAAACTTTTTTCGTTCTCAAATCGCATAGAAAAGCTCGTAGATGACCGAGGAACCTTAAATAATCTTGATTTGGACCCCGCCCCCTGGGTGGCAAGCTCCGCCCACTTTTCAGAAATGCCGGAATTTGCACGAATTCATTGATTTTGAGCAATTTACAGCATTTTTAAAGAGTGGGCGGGGCTTCTCAAAAGTGGGCGGAGCTATCTTGTCCACTTTCATTTTTGTACCTCACGCACAGATGCATACATACATACATGCAGCCGGCTGTGAAAATGCCCGGAAACGGTTTGTCCACAGGGAGAGACGTCAATAAAACAGCTCGTCGTCAATGTGTTAAACATGAACTTTTTTACAGATCTTGATGCAAGACAGGAAAGATTGGAAAATAAGAGGGGAAAAATCTGCTAAGCTGATTCCAAAAGTACCATATTGAATTCCATTGCAATTTCAGACTCTATTTGAAAAATGAACTTTTACCAAATTTTCCATTCTGAATTAACTCCTGAATGAAGAATTATCTTTGATATTTCATTTCTAGAAATCATATGCGGGAACAAATTAGCAAAATGCTGTAAAATGTACTGAGGATATACTACGGCACTGCTAAACATGTTTATAGTAGAAATAAGAGTATCTTAAAATATCGAAATTTTTGATGAACCATGCTCGGAAGATTATCGAAAAATTCACAATTTTCAGATTCCATCTCTCCTGTCGAATCATGCTTAGCAGTGCCGTAGTATATCCTTAGTACAATTTTGCAGCATTAGCACTTCTCAGGAAGATAAACGACTTGAAGATGAGCAAAATGCATACAAAACACCAATCTTGTACATACATCAGTAACCTGGCACCCACTATGCGCAGGTATAAGGTTATGGGAACATTCATAAGCAAGATAGAGAAAGAAGAAAGTATCTAAAGTGGCG